TACCTACACGCGTAAATTCAGTTTCGCCACGCTTTTTGCGCACAATAGAAACGGACATGAGAAAAAGGAGTTTTTCTGTCGGATTCCTTATACAGGGTCCCGCATAACAAGGCGTACGATAGAAAAAACTTATTTAGAGAAAAAACCAGGACATTCAATTTGTGATCGTTATAAGGCTCTGTTCAAACATCACGCGGATTAATTTTAAAGTAGACACATAAATGTAGTATTTTAATATTTTATACCAATACAGTGGCAGGGAGAAAACTCGCCTGATTTTAGAGTTAGATCATTCTAACCTATGGTTACATTGGTACCACAATTACCATATGACCCGTCGTATGTTTGATTAACTGTATTAGATTATACTGACTACGTACTATATAATCTAATAATAAGATATAATCTTTCCTTGTACTAAATTTGTTTTTTTTTTATGCAACTTAGAATGACAAACAAGCTGACGGCCCACCTGATGGAAAGTATAATCTAATTATATGATATAATCTGTCCTTGTACCAAATTTGATTCCAATCCGTTCAGCATTTTTTATGTAAAAGAGTAATAAATATATATCCATATATACATTCTCACAAAGATTCGTATTTATAATTGTAGTAGAGTACTTATTTTCATAGTATAATAGGAGGCATATAGATTAGCTACTAAATAATAGTAAAAAATATATAGTCATTTAACATCTACAGAATTTTACATCAAGTGTGCACCCATCTTTACTTCCTTTTAGACATTATCATGTATACGTAAAACGTGCGTATCTATCTGTATTGGTCTCCAGTCCATTCATTTTCAAAGCTGTTCGACTAACTTAACCCTTCTTTTGACCCAACATAATTACATGAACATAATCCCTTACCGCTTTGCAATAGAGACTTTTCGGCTCTAATCATATAGAAACATTAATGTACTAAATCTTAGCGATAATAAAGCGTAGTTTCAATAAAATCAACGTCAAAAGGGTCATGCTTGGTCCTCATAAACCTGGTTACTACGTGATGCGATTGAGGAATTAATTAAATGAGTAAATCAATCTGGCACTGTAAAAAGAAGAATTTTCAATTAAGTTCCGTAGCAGTTAAAAAAAACAATGTTCTTATTAAAATGGCGTGTTGTTATTATTCAACCTATCTATGAGTATTTTTACTGTCTGTTGTTAGTTTTTTTTTTTTTTGCATATTAGATATATCTTACCGTAATTATCTAATATTTATTACCTACGTCTTTATTAAATAAAAAGACAACTGAAACTTTAATCTATATATAAACGTATCATGCTGAAAATACATACTTTGTTAAAAAAATATAAAAAAAAAGTATTTAAGATTTTTTTCACAAAAAAAAAAACAAAACACCGACTTCGATCATAGCAAAACCAGTTTTTTTTTTATTAAAAAATTAAACAGATTCTGATAAAAATTTTATGAGATCAATGAAAGTATATTTTTATATTATATATAGGTATATTATAGATGAAAAAAAATACCAATAAAAGTATACCATTATATTATATATAGTTATATATATCCTTATAGATAAAAAATAAAGAATAAAAAATAGCAATCAGGCTCGCGTCACAACCGCTCATAATTAAGGATTACGGATTGACCTCGAAACTAGTAGAGCTTTCTCGATCTAATTACACATAAGTTAAACCGGTAGTTATTATATTTAAAAAAAAAAAGAATATTACAAATAATTTTACCAATGATGGTTTATTTTAGTTATGAGGTAACAAAAATATAAGAGAATTGCCAACGTCCTCTTTTTTTAAATCGGTTGAATATAAATAACTCGTATTACTTTCCTCAAACTACCTGTAACTCGTGGCATTGCCCGAATGAATCAGAACAAAATGTATGCGTCATACCAATATGTACATAAGTATAAACAAAATTCTGTATTGAATTAAATTGGAACTGCTGTTGCTTTTTATAAAAAAAAGAGAAATTAAATATTTTAAAACCCTTTAGATAATGAATATCATAAGCTATTTTAATAATCAATTTTATATTTCGAAGAATCAACTGCATTTTTAATGATCTAATGTGTCAGAAATTTATTGATGATAAATAAGGAATATTGAAGAAAATAATTATTTTATTTTATATTCTTGCTCTACCTCTTATAAATTTACAAATCGCCGTAAATAATAAAGTATTTGATTTTTTTTCTATAGATTTCGTGAAGAAATAAGTGTAGCTATATGTAGTAGGGTAACGAAATCTATAGACAAATTTACAATTTTTTTTTCTTCCTATGCTAATTTTGTGAATATCATATTCTAAAATGGCTTAAGATTCTAGGATTATTTCATTTATATAATCAGTGTTCAGCATTGTATTTAATATGAACATTTTAATTGCACAATACTCTATTAATATAACCCTATCGCAATTTTCTTAAGTAAAAAGTAAGGCTCAGATCTTTTTTTTTATACCACTGAGGTGGCAAACAAGCATACGGGCCACTTGATGGTAAGTGGTTACTGTAGCCTATGAACACCTGCAATTTGTCTAATAGGAATACTTACTATGACAAAATCTTTATCACAAAATGCAAATTAAGTATTTTAACCATAGCAGGTAAATTATAATTTTAGTAGATTTCCCGCTACAGACACCTTAAAAGATGTGTTACAGTCACAAAACCATATCCGATTAGTTCTTTTTTGCGGTGAACTTAACGATGTCTTTGGACGAAGCAGTTTTTTGGCACTTTGCTGTTTTATACAGTCCTAATTGAGGTTCAGATTCGCTAAGGATGCGATTAGGCCATGATTAATATAGCTGATGTGCCATTTTCGTGCCGACGGTATATTCATGTATTTTATAAATGAATTGGCAATCTTCTTTAATTCTTAAATTGAACGTGACGGTGACTGAACAAAATTTGACGTGTAATAAATGTGATCTTTCTTTTTTTATTTTAGAGTCCTTAGTACTCACAAATGTTCGTTGATGTATGCAAATACAATATATTGATAGATTTAAGTTTACATACTATTTATAACATTGCAAATGACGAAGCAATATTAAGTAAGTACTTTAAAATTCATTTAACATTAGTCATGTAAAGATGCTTACAAGATGAGACGAAAAAAATATTTTCAATTTTACCACAACACTTTTATTATAATTTTTCAACCACTAAAGTATCAGTTAAACATGTGGTCCATGTCAAAGCATTAAGCTTTTCGCCGTTAAAAATTCCGATGATCCAACAATACATAGGCAGTTAAATTAACGACACAGATCTTAAAGTGCAATATGTTATTTTATTAATTTCTGTGGTTTACCACGCAAACTTGTGAATATTGATGTGCTAAGATCCCAAAATATTTCTGGAGGTCGTGTTAGTAATAATTCTTTTTTACGAGCATAAACTACATATGTTTTACTATTTGGTGGTACCTACTAACTTCTTATTATAATTATGAACTTTTTCTAGACAAACATTAAGACGACCACAATGTGTGTATATTATCTTAATCATATACCGAAACACTTTGTTTTTAGAAAATTATAAATATGAAAACATTGAATCAAACTAGTTTTCTAATTATTGTTTTCTTGAGAAATACAAGTTAGTTAAGAAAGGGATTGTTAGTAATGGGGTCAAATAGCCCCATTACTAGCAATATACTCTGTTAGGTCGACCTCCACGTGGTTCCCCCTAGAAACCAATGTGGCTAATTCTAGTTAAATTCGTTAGGCCATTGGGCTAACTGACCTGCTTTCATCCTCATCAGTCATCCATCACTGGTGCCCCGCTAGTGTATACCAATAGCGCAGGCAGAATTATTTGTTGTTTGTTTAATTATTTACAATTTTTTTTTTCAAATGTTGCCGATTCTCAGTATGCAAATTTTTTTTATGCAACTTAGAATGGCAAACAAGCTGACGGCCCACCTGATGGAAAGTGGTAACCGTCGTCTATAGACATGAGCAGTGCCATGACCACAACAGAATATACTGTTTCGCCCATGACACACCCCATGCGTTGCCATTCCTGAGGACTCATGTGTTATTCCGCTGTATCCTGTAAATCCACTGCATAATATAAGCACTAAAAGTAACAGTAAGCCAAAATAGGTATATTGAATATACCTCAATCTATTAATACCTTATTTCTTAAATATTGAATGCTCTCTCAATCAAATACAATAAGCGCATCTCTCTACAAAGTGGTAATATTACTTCTCTAATTTATTTTAAAATCACATATGATATTTGTAGTTTCATAGACTCATAGGTACTCTGAGCTTTACAAATATTTTTGAAAACAATAAACTGTAGAAATAACTAGTTTAAAGCAAATAACGCCATGAAAATATTACATTAAAAGTAGGCCATCGGCTACCGGATATAGCGATGGCTCTATTGTTATACATATCTTCATTTCCGTTATGTTTATTAGAGCTATAAAAGGAAAATTGGATTTCTAGCTGGCATAAAAACTGATAGTTTCCCGTAAAATTACAATTAGCTGCGATAGTGAATCGAAGCTATCTTATGTTAGATAATATACTAACAAAGTTACACTGATTGTTTTTACTGTGTTATAGCGATTTTAAAACAACCCGTATGTGATTGTGTGCTCGTTAAAATGTAACGATTCTGGGTGTGTTTTATTGTATGCTTTACGACAGTGGAATAACATTTTAGCGCTGCGGGCGCTTTATGATGGTGTCATAGACTCAAATAATGTTTTAGTACCTGATAACGAGTAAACGCAACCATTTTATCTATCTATTAACGAAACCCTCAGCTTTCCATTTATAGTATGAAGAAAAACCAGATCGCGTTTTTATAGACTTGCTAAAGTTAAAGATGAAAGACTTTGAAATTGATGCTCATAAAACATTTATTAATAAATTGTGACAATGAATAAATCTTAGATCAAAATAGATTAGGCACCCGAATTACTTACCAAACTATTGTTGTAATTATTTTTAACATAATATCATTTTATTGTTTCAGATGGTCAGTCAAATCATCTGAATCTCTTCAACTCCAGACCACAGCCAAAAAAGAAACGAAAATCTCGAACGGCCTTCACGAATCATCAAATCTTTGAACTAGAGAAACGGTTTCTTTACCAAAAGTATTTGTCACCGGCGGACAGAGATGAAATAGCCAGTTCCCTAGGACTTTCTAACGCACAAGTAATCACGTGGTTCCAAAACAGACGTGCAAAACTGAAACGAGATATGGAAGAACTCAAAAAGGATGTCGAGAGTGCTAAAGTACTCTCAGCGCATAAGAGTTTCTTAGAAAATGTAACAGATTTGGGGATACTGAAGAAGAAAGCCATGAGTATAGGTGCAAGCGAGGAGGCCGCTACAAATCTTGTCGTGAATGCGTCAAAATGAAACGAGGCAACGCGGGCGATCGCGCCTAGTGCTAACTACGATCGACGCGTACTCGATTATTAAATCGATATCGATTAATGAACTTTATGTACATCACTATTTAATATTTCAAACAGACTCATTAGTGACGTTAGATATTTTCTTCACTAATCTAGAATAGTAATGTATCACTATTTAAATATGACTGTAAATAAATACATACGAGGTTGTAGTTTATCATTGTACAAAATACATTATGAAGAAGCTTCGAAATAAATGTGATAGTTGATTTTATTATTTAAGTACTTAATATTTTATAGAGATACTATAATTATTTATTGTGGACAGGTTATTATTGTCTGGCATATAGAAATATGGCAATACCAGTGAAAAAAGTAGTAAGCTATTATCATTTCTAGATTAATACCTACTATTTACCTTTAAAAGTGCAATATGAAAACGCAAACTTCGTTTCTATAAGCCAGCGATAGGTGTTACGGCAAATCCAATTTTGTACATAATACTTATTTGTAAATGTAGATTTATTAGTATAAAATTCTTCTATTTGACGTTTATAAAAAGTTAATGGATAATCCAAGTTAATGATGTAAAAACAACGTGTAATCTAATTTATCATTAGTAAGAGATAATTACAAATTTTAAATTAGTTCGAAGAGTAACAATTTCCAACAACACCTATAGAACAAATTTATGTCGATTCACTTTCTTTAATTGAAGTTTTGCGTAATTATTTATTAATTAATACAAAATATGATCGAATTATATAATAATGAAAATAACAATAACTATTTTTTTATTGTTATATAATGCGATTGAATTTTTATCTTGGATTTCTCGAGTAGGTACGTACGTTACTAAATTAAATTCAAATTGAATTTAAATAAAGTATCTACTTATATTTACAGTTTAAAGGTATAATTTAATATATTTATTTATGTACTGAATAATTCCTTATAGGAATACTCACTAGCACTCATTAGTTCATGAAAATATCATTTGGTTCTTTTTTTAAAAAATTACCAACACAATTTGTATATAATGTACTTAATTAAATACCTTTATCTACCTATTATAATACTTACAAAAATATAGCTAATTAGTGCTAATTAGGTACTGTGTTCTATTTATGAATTATTGGCAGGTGACAATGATATGATAACAAATAAAATTTTCTGACCATTTTGTGGAAAATTTTTAAATTTAATTTCCTAAAATTGATTTAAATATCACATGAAGTACATTGTGAAATCCTATAAAATGTAATAATATTTCGAGAAGCAGTAAAATAATATAGTTTACTCGAAAGTATTTCAGTACCTCCTGTTGGTCCATTTGTGAGTCAGCTCACCGAAAAAAGTATCGGAAAATTCTATTGATAATGTGTTTACAAATAGTATTGGCCAGACTTAAACTCACCATTTAATCATATGCAATAATATATGATTGCTTTTTTACCTTGACGCGTTAATTAATATGCAAAAATGTTCTTAAAACGTTTTTGATAATATTATATTGTTTTGTAAAATCTTTTTTGTACATAATTGATGTACATACACATCATTATATAAGTAATATCTTTGCGACAAAATACTAAAGCATTTAAATTTTAAATGTACAAACGATGCAATCAAATAGTTCTTTAGACTATGGTATTACTATGGCTATTTGAGCATGTGAAAAATTCAATTACCTCTGTAATCTTTATTATTGATTCATCTGATTATTACATGTACTAGTTGTTATTATACAAGATCGTGGCTTTACAAGACATTTTTAAAACTTTTTGATTGTAAGACTATATCTATTTTCATGTTTTAAACCACTTGTATTATTTTTCTTAAATTACAGAGGAATATAATTATTATGTCAAATTTTAATTCTTTTTATATTTATCATTTCATTATGATCAATAAAATAAATAAAACTGAGTATAAAAGTCAAAATACGGTCAGTGACATTAAATTATCAGTTAACACTAAATGACTTAAGAGCAGATGTTTCTTCGTTGGGTAGGTTCCTTTAATAATAATTATTCACAAACTGTTGGTGTTATGTAGCTACCCTATATAACCCTTGGGCCTCGACCCCAGAATGTATAACGATCGGGATTAGCATAAAACCTGACCATAATATAACTTATGTCAACGGTATTAAAGTCATTATGGTCAGAGATTATTTTAATCACAATTCTTGCCTGTACAGAGGCCTAGGTTCCGTTGTATAATGTGTACTATGGGTTTAAAATGGCCAATTTGGTGATTCGTAAATAATAAATAAACACTAATTGATAAATTTCATATAAATTTTTCGAAGATATTACAGAATAAGTTTCTTAAAAAAAAAAGATGTGAAACGCTGAAATATTTCTACCGCCAAGCCGTGGCGGTAAAATTATCGACTAGGAACAGCTTATGAAATAGCAATGCATGAGAAATACTTACCATAAGAATCACGCAGTATTCTATGACGTTCATGGTATTCATATTACAGATGTTAACAACGACAATAGCCACTTTCTATTCGATTTGTCGTTAGCTTATTTATTATTACAAGTTTTCTAAAAAGATTGTCGTACATGAACTAAAGAAGTTAAAAAGATTAGTATTGTATTAAAAATCACCCAAGTAGCCATTTTAGACCCCTTGACTTAAGGTTAAACCTTGTTCCTACTACCGTTACATGCTTATTGTAAAATGTGACTTTTTATACCTTAAGGGCACTCGTGCTTTCACGAACTATGTGAATGTGAATATTACTTAGTGTAAATAAACAATTATGTGTTCTAATTTTTTCTGTTTATTTATTACCCTTACTTTGGTAACCTTAAAGCAATTTAAGCGGCTGTTAAATATTTTTTAATCTGAATTTCAAGGCAATTAAAATTCATATAATACATATTGGCAACAGTTGCCTTCCGAAGATTAGTTAATAAATGAAAAACACACAAATTGTGTCTATGTCTGTAGATAAAAAATAAAAATACAACGAGTTTTGCTAGAACAATATTTAATTATACCTAACTTTAAGCCAAGTAAGTACAGATCCAATATAATAGAGTTATGAAAATCAGCTGTCTGAATTAAGATCTTCGATCACTTTAGATAATATCCCGATAAAATTGATAGCTTTGAAAATTCGAAATAATACTGTTTTAATTTTTTCTAATCATGACTTTTTCGGCATTTGATAGGGCTGAATTAATTTTTGATTATGTCTGAAGTCAATAAAGTTAATTGACCTGCACTGGATGGATATGGACAGAGGTAAAGAAGTATTGAAAATATCGATATATCGAAAATTTTAATGGAAGACTAACACCACTAACATACCAATTGATTGAATAACTAAATAATAATAAAAGATAAATAGAACGGTTAACTAGACAATTATTATCTACTTATTTCTAAACTGGTCCTTAGTAAACAACCAAAAATAAATTTACGAATTAGTCGCCGCGAGTTTGAAGCGTTTAAATAATTAAAAATACTCCATACACGGTCTTGGCCGACTTAAATGCCCATATTCTCATGGTCCGGTATGAAATCCATTCGAGACGTTAGATCATGCTCTTCGTGATTTCGCTTTGTTTGAATTGGGCAAGAGAGCGTTTGATGTTGGCGCGTCGCGTGCCCAGAACAAATATAACATAAAGATTATTGTACACTGTTGTTGAATTCGAAACGGTAACATGAAAATCATTTTAAAATTTTAAATTATTAAATAATATATATATATATATATATATATATATATATATATATATATATATATATATATATATATATATATATATATAGTATAAATAACAGTTCTGTCATCTCATTCAACTCTAGTATCTTAAAATAGATATATGTATATGAATATAAAAGAAAATTACATTTAAGCTATATGCGTTGAAAGAAAATTTAACTAATCATAACAGCTTCTAGGGTGTAAATTGTTGGGGCAATCTGGTTTATATCTGCAACTAAGTGACTTAAAGTTTACATAATTACTGGCTGTTTGTCCGCGAATTTTACCGCATGCATTACTATATAAAGTATTACGTTTAAGATATAACCTATCGGTGTACCAAGTGTCAATCAGACCCGTTTAGTAGTTTTTGCCTGAAAAATCAGCAAACAACTATCCGTCCCCACAAACTTTCGCATTTATAATAATAGTAAGATTGTGGCATAACAATTAATTATGGTTACTAACTTACTAACTTGTTACTGTAATCGTAAGTACGAAAAATAAACTTACGCTCACCTGATGGAAAATGGCAGCCGAAACCTATAGCCCATATAGATTATGTAACTGAATATACATACCTATAATAATAATAAGAACTCCAGATAGGAGAAGGGGATTCTTAGTAACGGGTTCTGACAGCTCCATTGCTAACAATATACCCTAACAGGTTGATCTCAACGCGGTTATTCAACCAAACCATCGTGGTTAAATCTTGTCAAATTCTTCACGATTGCCCAATCGACCTGCCTTCATCCTCACCTATCACTGATGCCCCACCAGCGCTAAGCGCTGTTAGCGCTAAGTTACCATTACATTTTCACCCATTAAAAAAATAGTTCAGGTACCTTTTGTTATATTGTGTATTAAAGTGCTATACGTTTATATACATATATGTGTATGGTGTATGCGCGGTTCGTCAATTGCCTGTAATTAAATAGTAAAACAAGATAAGTAAGTACATTATCGTTTATTGTTTTAATAACCGTAACTGTATACATTACTATTAATTATTACGTTACGTAATTTTATGACCGTTACACAGTAAAATAAATTATTAGTAAAAACTTATTTCTATTAAGAATTTTTAAAAGTTAATATCTAAAATATGAAATGGGTACCTATATGTATTTTAAGTTAGTATACTATCACCTCAGATAATATAAATTTACTATAGAAAAAAACTATTTTGTTTTGTCTATGACTATTTTAATTTTTTTTTATACAACTTAGAATGGCAAACAAGTTGACGGCCCACCTGATGTAAAGTGGTAACCGTCACCTATAGACATGAGCAGTACCATGGACATAACAGAGTATACTATTTCGCCCATAATACCCCCCATGCGTTGCCATTCCTGAGGAGTTAGGTGTTATTCCTCCATACCCAGTAAATTCACGCCATATCCCACCCTTCAAACCGAAACACAGTCATGCAAACACAACTGTTTCACGGTTGAAACACGAATGGGACAGAGGTACCCAAGCAATCGACTTTTGTACAAAGTCTCCCTCAGTTATCTGTAATAATACATTATACATAATCACTATATCGTATCAACCGTTAACTGTCCACAGCTAAACATAGGCCTCACCCATAGATTGCCATAAGAAACCATCCCGATTCACTTGCATCCAATGACTCTCTGAAATACATTTAAGATCCCCGCTCTATTCAGTAAGCGATCGTCTTACACTGCTTTTGCCTGAACGATAACGCCTTTCAAGTACCTTTCTTTTCGATCGGTTAATAATTATTCGAGCTATGTAACCAGCTCATTGCAATTACGGACTATGTTTCGACTCCGTAGGTCACCTATGGCAACACGCACTGCTTAAAGACCTTCATCTTCAAAGTATGAGATATTTGGGAGGAGCAGATATGGCGTAGTTTTCTGAACGCTGCCCAGCCGAGTTGGATTCGTCAGTTGATCACTAAGTCTAAGTTGGAGTTACCAAGTCTGACAAATAATTTCAGATATACATATCTACTTGTCGACAACTTCGAGCGTAGTAGATATATGTAGAATGGTATAATAGAAATAGCTTTATAAATATACCTTATATAAATAATCATATTTAATCTATTTTTAAAAAATACTTTTATTATTAGATATCTTTACTTTAATTGGTTGTTATGTTAGGAATCCTATTAACCCATACAGAATCACACAGAAAAGGTTTAAGGAATTAACACAAACTGACAGACAATACACGATACAAAAAGATGTATTTGAAAGCATAAAACGCAAAGTGTTCAGTCTCAAAAGTCTCAGGTTTGCCATTCCGTGGATAAAAATTAATATGGAATTTTTAAAGGAAATATATTATCTCATCACGCGTACCTACGTTTCATTTCAAGTAAATCTCTTGGTCACAAGCATTAAACTAAGGTGATTCTCTAGTCACATTATTAGGTCCTGAATCGCCATGAAGAGCGTTATTGACAATTCACTGTTGCCGTCATAAAAACCATAGCTACTTTATTAAGAGAGCACACTTTATTAAGAGTTACATTATAATATTTAAAAAAAAAAAGCAAATTTAATACTTTTTTTTAACTTTGTGTATCAGTTATTTAGTGTCAACAGAACGAGCTCTGCGAACAAACAGACGTCTACCATATCTAATGATATTTTTTTTTTACAACACAGGGGGCAAACGAGCATGCGGCTCACCTGATGGTAAGTGACTACCGCCGCCCAATTTTTTTTTTATATATATATATTTTTTTAGTTCATTAAAATATGTTAAAAACATTCATTGTACACCAAGCTCAAAATCATCGATGTCAAATTACACTGAACGTTTCAAGCTCAAATTGTTAAAACTGTACGACTATTAGTTACGGATACGAGTTTGTTATTCTCTAATTGGTCGCCCATCGACCTTAATCACCAACTTGACGTGACCTGTGACGGTAAACACTCGCATAGAAAGCACAGCGCAAATATCACTGGATCTATGTAACTTATCACGCGAGAGTCTGATCATATTTGAATATTTAACTTTTATAGCGTTTACTATTGCCAGCACCCAAACAAGTGATGAACCGTACACAATAAATAATTGCTGTAGATATACTATTGATATGTATTTTTTTTTCTTTGGAACCTTTGAATAAATGAAATTAGAAAAGTCGTAATATTATATGGCACGTGGACAATAATAATTGAATTGCCATGCCATCGTGTCTCAGCTACTTGACCTTTGAGGAGGTCCTATTAACTGAGCTCAAAATGGGAGAAAAGATCTGGAAAAAGCTTATCTAATCTCATTATAGAAAAGGACTTAATGAAAATGTTTACGATAAATGTTATTCTTGTCTTATTAAAAGAAAAAGTAGTACATTAATTATATCAGGGTTGATAAAATTGGTCACACTAAATATTATCAAGGGAATAGGAAGGATTAAAAAAAAAAAAAAAAAAACTAAACTGCAACTAACGAACGTCCCTTGTGTTTTTTTTTTTCAATTTTTCCAAATAAAATATTAAGCAATTTGAATAGATTATATAGATATCTTAGATTATACAGATAGATTATCGGGTCTTAAAAACTTTGTCAGCAAATGATCAAATTAGCCGACTCGATTTATTATCAGTGTTCTATATGCTTACGTACATAATGTATCTTGACGTATCTATATTTAATTATTTAATAAATAAAATGAGTTTTTACACACTAAAAAGATGCTAAAATTATAAAACAAAATAAATATAGAAGTTATAAAGAAAACACTAAAAACTATTTATAACGCAAAAAGTTGACTAGCTTTTTTCGAAGCATTTGTATGGACACACTCTATCTATATAATGTAAGGTTACCTTACATTATATCACACTCTATCTATACAATGTAAAGATACATTAAGTTTTATTTGTAATACAATGGTAGGTACCATATTGATATTATTGCAAATAATATCAATGTCGGTAACAATAACCAACACTCGCAAATATATACTTACAAACATTAAAGAATTGCAACAATTAAGACCAATACAAATATTAACGCAAAACGCTACGCCATTCCAACGAAACCAGTAATAATA